TAAACCCCCCACTGATTCCATCATTACTGCCGTTGTGGCAGGGTCATTACCGCCCTGCTGCCGGGGCTTTGTAGCAGGGATTGAGAATCTGCTGGTGTGCACATCACATTGCCTCAGTGGGGAGAATGTGTATGTGCGAGGTAGAGTTGTAGGGACAGAGGTAAAGGAAAACGGGTGTCAGAGTGAGGAGAACTCCTGAGGGATTTGATCAAATCCCTTGTGATGAGGGGGGAGGATGACTGCAGCCATCACTTGTAATAAGGATTTAACCAAGTTAACTTTCCGGGGATGACCTTTACAGGCACAACACAGTGCAAGATACAAAAACATGTTAAAAGATCATTATGATATATATATATACACACATATATTATATATATGTGTATTCCTTATGTATATATATATATATATATATATATATATACACACTCCCTTGATATTCACTTCTCAAGACCAATTTTTTTAATTCTTTCCCAAGGTGCTTCAAATGTTTGGTTGACAGTTCTCAACATCCCCTCCGGCCTTATTCACCACAAGCACTTGACTAAGCATGTTCATTAGCTGCCTTGGCATCATTAACACAGATGCATGCTGGGAAAGAAAGTCCCAATGATACTGCTCAGAGGGGTGGACTAAAGACTCTGAATCCTCCTTCAGGATGTACACACATCTTCATTAGGTCTCTCTCTTCTGCAGAGCTATGACTGCCATTTACTTTCAAACCAGTGTATTAATATACTAGACTACACAATACCAACAACCCCCTTGATGAAAAATCATTGTGACCCCTAAATATATGTGTTCACATAACTATGACGTTATCATCAGCAGTGGTTTGAAATTCACAGATTATTGACAAATTTATTGTATACTGAAATATACAGAATACTCAGGGATTGCAGTTGTTGTTGAGTAGCCTCCCTGTTGTTTCTGCTGAGAAGTCCAGACATCACCATTACAAAGTGGCATATGCCCTTTGTCCGTCAGCAATTGGTGTGTGCAATGGAGGAAACATTTTAGGAGAAAGGGGGTGTGAAGTTTGCCAACATCAATCTTGTTTCAAATTGAACTGCAAAGTTCCAGCTGAATGAATTGCCTTTCAAATGCAGCAGGCCATGGCTACACACATTCAATTCCGAAGTGAATCTGATTTGATCCCAAAGAGCCGTTCAAAGGCACAACCCACTGATTGATAAAGCGAACCAAGGGGAGATGAGGGTAAAGAACAAAAAAAAAGGAGAGCCTAGTCAATAGTGAAGCGGGTAAAGAAGAGGGGAAAGCCGACACAGCCAAGCGAAGGCACACAAAGGGGAAAAGGACAAGACAAACAAAGCAAAAGGGGGGGAAACTGTTTTAATGGGAAATAAAATGACAACTCCAGGTTGTTCTATGGGGCCCATTTAATGTCTCGTACACAAGTTCAAAAAATGTGATAAACCCGGGGTGGTGAGCGCAAGCAAATACTGATGTGTGACTCTGATAAGCGACTGCTCAGCTCTGCGCATGGGTGGGAACAATTTTCCGACCACAAAGCACTAGCTTATATAGTGCCAAAGGTGAAATACCTGCCTTCACATCACTGACTGAGGTGTAGCTTTAAGTGTAACACATTTCTTTAACTCACAGGAGAAGGTGCTAAATTTCCCCACACTAGAATAGGATGCAAAATGACATGGTGAATTAATGCTCACTGTATAGAAGCTACAGAATCATGTTACTAGCTCAAAAAGAGATGTATCACTGAGTTGCTCTGAACTCATGAACAAAAAAGCTAATTTACATTTTTACTGCAATAGGACTTCAATAAGTCATTAGCTTAACTGCAAGGATGATTCACTGTGGCTTTCTGCTATATCAGCAAAACAACCCTAATGGGAAAATGGTTCACTCTGAAGTTAACCAAAAATCAAATTACTAGTTTATAATGGCCATATGTTACCAACAGCAGCATCTTCTTACAATAGTATATAAATCTGTCAGGTGAGAAGCAATACTGTGCTCCAGATTTTGAGCAAAATAAAGCCAGTTACAAATACCATATAATGTGTACATTTGCTACCTTAATTTAAGGTGGCAAGATTAATAAATTGAAAAAATATTCATTCCATTTTGATTATTCATTTAGTTTTTTTTTACCTTGTATTTTACTCAACATCCTAATTCTTGAGTTATGTGTGGTCACAAGGACATCATTGGAGTGCACTAAAATGCCAATTTAAAGTAACATGTAGTTAATATATTTACTTTTTTTATATATGTCAACTTTTCAACAATTAGATATTAGATACTTTTTTTAAACATAAACAAGTGTGACTTAATTAGTGAAATGGCTATGGCCTTCAGAGTATCTAATATCTGACATATGTGTTGAATTTTCAATCAGGGCAAAGAGCCATCTTATAATAAATGACAAAGAAAAAAGCCACTTTTAGAAGATTGAAGCTGAGCTTGAAATCCTTCTTGATTATCATTTCCTTTTCTTGGAGAAACTCATTAAACAGTGAGACTCATAAAAACAGCAGGGGAGATGACAGTCCTGCATTCTCAGTTGTTTTAGAGGCCTCTGAGCGCAATAAGCATCAGAAAATTGGGGGCTGTTAAAGTGATTCTTTTTTTTCCCTTTTACTGCCTAAGTGTTGTTCTTCAACAATGCAAGTAACAAGCAAGAATCCCAAGGAATGTGGAGTTAACAGAAGCCTTTTTATACCATTTTCTGAGGGCAGCTCTGCAGGGAAGGCATTTACACCTGCTTGCCTCATCTTTCACGATACACTAGTCCCCCAAAGTGTGCTCTACTTATAAATATCCACATCTAAGATGTGGCAAAGATGGAGGTACCACAAAGGAAAAACCAACAAGTGTGTGTGTGCATGTGTGTTAAAAAAAATGGTGGCAATATCCCAGACAAATGAGGTCAGTTTTCACCAGTGACTTGTTTGTCAAATCAGCACAGAAAGGATTTATGGTCTGTGGTTACAATGAGAGGACAAGACTTCAGGAATTAATCTCGCAAACCTCTTTCTATCCACCTGAACCTCCAAAACTGCATTAAACTACACCAATACCAGTTACCTAACTTGACTTGAGATGAAGTAAGACTCACAACCCAAATAGGTCAGATTCAAAGCAGAAAAAAGGTGGGGATCTTTTCGACAAAATGCTTAATGTTCAAGCACACTTATTGGTACATTTCCTCAGATGGCATGAATTTGAAAGACTATACTGCATGAATCATGAAACAGGGGAAAGAGAAAAACAAATGAACAACTATCTCATTTTAGGAAGATCACATGTAACACCTTTTTTTCAATACCATCTACATCAAAGCCGTTCTCATTGACTTTCAACTTCACTGACGAGGGGGGGAGGTAGATATCAAACATTAAACAGCATTTTTCATTCATGAGCAAATCATGTTCTGTTTCAACAATAGAGGGAAAAGAGCTGATTCAGTAAAGTCGCTGCAGGGGTAATTGATAGGGATCCAGCAAAGGTAACTCCCAGGGGAAATGCTGGATCATGAATTCCTACCCTGCCAGCGGGAACATGGACTATCTATAGAGCTTTTTTTGAAACCCCAGTGGGTGAGAAAGTGAATTTAATAAAGCATTCAAAAGGAATTAAGGCCATGTGTCTGTGGAACTCTAAATGTTAAGTTGTATTTCACTTTAAGAATTTATCTGAAAATGTATTTTATAGCAGCAGTGCTCTGCAAACATATTGCTAATTCATTAACACTAAATGTTAAATCTATCCCCTAAATAACAATTTATGTTTCAAACAAAAGAACACAATGAGAATGTGAATAATTAAAAAGGTATTGCAAAGGTGTCAAAAAGGTCTGACTGTCAATTACTTCAGAAATGTCACAGAGCATGTGATAAAAAAAATGTAGTCCCTGGCAGATACACACTGGTGAACGACGAGAGGTCTATCCCTGCCACTTCATTAAGCCTTGCAACAACTGTTCTTTCCCCTACTCACATTCACCCTCCATCTGTATTATACTGGCAAATCACCTTGCGGCAGCTGAGGCAAAATTGCTATTTATTTCACAGGACAAAAAAAGAGATGAGTCTAGTTTGTAGACCCCGAGGCTCCTGAGAAAGACGAAGCAAGAAGCTGCTGGAGGGCTGACTGGTGTCCAAACAGACTGTGGGTATATGGGAAAAGTTGGAGGACTCTGTACAGTCATGTCCACACACCCTGACAGAGCTCAGATTTGACTCTTCTACACTTGACAAGCCTCTGACTTCTTCCCTCCCACTGCTGCTAGAATAAGAGGTGTGCACTACACACACACACACACACACACACACACACACACACACTGTCAAAGAAGTGGAAAAACACTCAAATTGTCATGGGAGGAATACATCAAGTGCCTTTACACACCCTCTCCTATACAAACAAACTTGCTCTATACTGCTTGTGTTATTCATCAGCAAGTTAGGCAGCCTGGTTGTGTATCTGAGAAACAAACTGGCCGGGACAAGAAAACTCCCAGAGCTTCCTTCACAAAAGCCTTCCCGACTTCCCTGATGGACGACTGGTCTACTGGACTGGAAAAGGCAAGAAACAAACCAAGCATAGCTGCTCTCGGTTCACACATCTATGTACAAGTTCAAGATTGTGCACATCCACGTGCACAAAAGAACACTGATCTGAAACTACTCAAAGAGTACAAAGAACAACTACAATGAGCAGCCACATTGCATTTCTAGCTTTCTCAAAGACACAAACACATACAAACACTGCAGCAAGAGCACTGGTATCCCTAATTGGCACATAGATTTGACTTGAGAGCATATATAGATGGTGTTCAAATGCAGTGGAAAAAGTGCTTGGTTTTACGATAATTAACATTTCAGTGAGAAAAATGGTTTCTTAAAGTGTCACAAGATGAAAGTGGCTTCGGCATCTTTTGCCGGAGAGGCTAAATGAAGCATGTGTGTCTAGATTAATTAAGGAAGGGATGAAGAGAGATGACGCCTCCTTACCTTTGCTCTGCGAGGAGAAGCAGAGGGAGAGCTGAGCAAATAGGTCAGGATTCTCAAACTTCTCTTCTTTGACTTTGATCCAGAAGCAATTCTCTGCCATTTCCTGAGGCACTATCTGCAATGACACAAGGATTCCATTATCACCACAATCAGAGACCGCCATTTCACCAACCTGCCACTCAAAAAGTTCTTCTCACTGGAGATGGTGTTTGTGTGTGTTTTTCTGTGTGTGGACACACACATGCCCTTGTAGTATCTGAGTAGCAAAAAATAAAATAAAATCAGTCCAAATATTCATGTGTGACAAATCACATGAATATGACCACGCTAAAAGATGAAGTGTGGACAGACCCTGACTGAACCCGACACATCAAAGCTCTAGTTGACCTCTCCTGAGATGAATGAAATATGTGATATATATTTCAGTTTGCAGCACAAAACCTCAGCAACCTTGTTTATACACTCCTCCTACCCAGACTAGTATGAAACAGCAAAGCCTCTAAGAAGCAACCAAGCCCCTACACACACTGAGGTGATAGAAGGCCATGGGGATACTTTCTCAACCCCCCTTTTTTCCCCCTCCACACTGCTCCATAGACAACAGACAGAGTAGGAGTGTACAGAGATATTCAGACATCAAGAAACCCACTTATTATATTGCAGTTATTACTAGCTGATAATGTGTGTGACACAACACTGCATATGTTGTACATTAAGTGCTGGGGTGAGAGCTGTTAGTGTGGCACTGTTGTGTCTTTTTATCGAGGGCCTGAACTAGCAGTTGGCCTACTGCACTGTTGCAGTTAACCTCCTCAAAACCACAGTAATTACGTACAGAAGAGGTTTTAGTTCAACACTTATGCAATACAGACAGAGAGTTCCAGCTGATGCTGGGCATTTATTCCCACGGCCATATAGAAACGGTGGTAAGTGTAACAGTGTTGCAGAGTCCTATAATGGCAACAATAGGTGCTTTATTTGAAGGCTTATGAAACTTTCAACATGAGCTGCTTGGTGTTGAGTGTAGATGAAAGAGCCGCTGTACTCTTATTTGCTCTCATACAATGCAAGTCCTAGAAAGCAGTCTGCCATGTCTGTGATAGCCTAATTCAGAGAAAGTGGCGACATAGGGAATTTCGATGTAGCAAAAAATTCAATAATGCAATGACTCATATTTCAAAACGCTACTACTATACCTACAACAACACCAACACAAATATTACTACTACTACCACTACTACTATTCTACTATTATCAGAATGCATTATAGTATTCTTATCATCTACAAAACTGCGAAAGGCCCATCATACCTGAACTGGCTATCATTAACATCACTACAGTACAACATAAATTTGAAATACTTATAAATGTGCAATTTTAAATAAATTAGACTGTGTTTTGGTAATTCACTTATGCTTATCTGAATTACACAACTAATTCTTTATTTACGTTACTTGCAGTTGTTATTTTATTTCTATAATCAACCTTCTTCTATGTATAAATGGTCCCTCATCTAAAGCATGTATAAAACTCTATCTCTATAGGTGATGTCCACATTCAACTGAACTAATAAACATTGTAAAATTTTAAAACAAATTGGTGACAAGCAAGACAGGGATGATTGGAGCATGTAAACAATCCAAAGCTCTGCTTTTGGTGATGTTTTAGAAATTAGAACATGCTGCTAAATGGGTTATTAAATATCAACTGGGTAAGCAAGGTAGGGAAAAACAAGCATTATTATTCTTCATCTAAGACTCAATAGCAAACCAAAGATGACCAGATCTTTTTTATCATGCCATTTAGCACAGTTACTGATTTATTAACTCATTATTCAAATATTGTAGCAAGAAAATGTTAATACAGCTCTATGGTAGTGCTCCTGGTCTACAAAGCACTGAATGGTCTGGCACTGGATTATATATACGACACACTCCCAGTTTATCATCCTGGCAAATTGCTCAGGTAACAGCATTTCCTCCATATTTCTGCAGTTAAAATTTGCCAATAGCGCTTTCAGTGTTTATACACCTAAAGCTTGAAACATCCTACCTGCTGAATTTTTGTTTGCACCAACATTATTATCTTTTTAAAATAATCTTAATTAGTTTTATGCATGTGAATGGGTGTTTATATGTGTTTAGTGTCACGTTGCAGAGTGAAATCATCATTTTGTGTCTGTATATAATCATAGCTATGTTCCATAATACTATGTAATAACACTGGCCAACAGAAGCATGTATAAGAAAGGAAGGAGGCTGGGACTACTGCCCTGTGTTACACCACAAGATATGTCAGACATTTCTAATACATGATGCCCACAGCTAAAAAAATGTTCCTGCCAGAGATTTTAAATAGTTTTAAAGAGAGCAACCCAGTTTTCAAAAATAACGAATGAGAATGATGTGGCTAAAGGCTTTGCTAAAATACATAGGACTACTAACCAAGTCCAAGATGACCAACTATCAAGAGTGGTCTTGTTAAGAATACTGACATATAACTGAAAAAACACATTAGTAATGAGTCAATGGGTGTGTAATAACACAAAGGTGAAAAAGGGTGCAAGACATAAATATTAATATCAGTTTTACCTTGTCCTTTACCTTGTTCATAGTTTACCTTGGTGTTCCCATTTTTTATTTAACTGTTTATTTTTTACAGGGACAGTGCACAATTTAAATAATTGCACCAGAGTTAGCTAGGAGCTAATTTGCATCTGTTGTCCCTGGGTTTGAAATAGTTGCTCTAACTGCAGACCAAACTAGATAATAATAGTCCACCTGCCATTGATTAAAAAACACTATTGGGCAAATTAACAAATACACTAAGGACCACTAATAGACTGTATACTTAGCTGGTGAAAATTTCTTGGGTGATGTTTGGGGCAATTCTAATTTAAATTTCCATAACATTGTATTACTAAACATTCAGCCTGGTGTATGACTCTCTATGTTTCGTGCTGGGTCTGACCAGAATAAAGAAGTCATCTCTATGTTTGAGTAAAGGCATTTGTTATAACTTGAGCAAATGACCCAATGTTGTGCGTGAACATGAGCCTGCATCATGGTGCTCTGTACGACAGAAGTTATGTCCCTCATCCCATTTGCATCTTCTGCCATTCCCCTATGTCTAAAGTCCTTAATTAGCATTTTAAGATTATATGAATTTAATTTCTTCATGGGGAATGCATATAAAATAGAACACCATGTGTGTGTGTGTGTGTGTGTGTGTGTGTGTGTGTGTGTGTGTGTGTGTGTGTGTGTGTTTATTTTGGCATTCAGACAGCCCCCTACTTAATCTCCACTAATAATTTTCTGTGGGAATCACTGACACACATACTGTATATGGAAGCAAATGCAGGAAAAAAATTATTCAACCTAATTTAAAATGCATTTAACACTTAAACAAAGCTGACATTTCCCAGTGTCTGCCTGAGCTGGTCTCTTCCCATGTGAGTGTCTTATACTACTACTTCTGACTGAGAATGCACTGCCACCACATCCCTGGTACTGTCACTGAAAATGCAAAAATATTTCTACTTTTTCGCTTTTAAAAGCTGCCCCGATTGAGTGTGAATATGTCACTTTTGGTACAAGATCTAAACATGTATGTATGCTACATTGTATGTTTGTATGTATGCAAGTAGTCATCTGTGTACAGATGAATCAACAAGTCATGCTCACATAGATGTGTATGAAAATTCAGTGTTGCATAGTAACCTTGTCGGACATGTATGGGGTACTAGATAGAGGGGATGTAGGTTTTTTTCACCATCCTTCTTTAAACAACCAAATCATGGTTGCTCCTGGCACTACCATACTTCCATCTGCTGTGCAGAGAAAAGGCAGACAACTCTTGTCCCACTTAATCGACATAAGAGACACAGATTGTTTGTCCTCAGGTGGTTACGAATTTCATTTGCATCACCAAACTACAATTCCTGTGGAGGCAAGGTTAATGCTCCCACACATTTACCTCTTTCTGTACACTTCCCAGACAATGGGCAATTGCATGTCACTGCGTGCACACAAATCATATATGCAAAACAACACTGGTACTGCACAATATTTTAGATATAAAGGCACAAATAGTCTCGGCTGGTATTAAGAAACAAGAAACCAAATTGCTCTTTTTCTTATCGTTTCCACAACAGGTTTGATATTCCTTGCTGCTGTATGACACTATTAATAACTTTACCCACTGCTCAGGAAATTCCCACACAGAGCGAAACATTTGCATACATGACATTTTAAAGAGCCCTTAAGGTAACAGAAATTACAAATGGAACATCTGTTATCCATATTTCTTTCTCTCATTTATGTGTGTCATGTTAAAAAAAATAATGTATCAAACCAAAACATACCCCATTTGTTTACTTTACAAAAACAACAAATACGCGAAGAGATAACTACAATGGCCCTCAACACATTGAAAAAGCACATGAAAAATTTATTTTGAATACGTAGCTTGATTCCACTGAAACCATTAAATATAATATGCAACACATAATGTCAAAGGAAATAGTCTGATGTTTTGGTTGTTGTCAGTAATTGAAGACTAAAATGCAGGGTCACACAAGCATCAGCAAAGAACCATTAAATTAATGCTAAGAACTCCTCAGGCGATGGATAAATTATCTATGGTAAAATAAAGCCCACATGCACGAGAATGTCCAATTGAAATTGTATTCAAATGTGATGGAACGTTATGCAACTCAGTCTTCATTCAATTATGCTAGGAATCCAAGGACATTTGAGCAATGAAAATTGTTAACTGTTGAATCCTTTGAAATGGGTGCTGAGTGTGGAATAGTGTGGCCTGAGGCTGAACGGTTGTTTGACTAGATTAAGAGTGCATTTGAATGGAGCTCCTTTTGATTTGGATCTCCAACTGTGCATCATCTTATTGTGTACTCTCACTTCAACAATACTCTAAAGACAGTGCTAAATGTCCACATGTGCAATTGTAAAGATTGCATCATATGTCTTGTAAACAGTGGAATAATATTACCCTTTCAGTCTTAAATCAGCAATATTATCAGTGCCCATGAGAATATATGTTTCAGTAAATCAAAGCTCAGGTAACCATACCTTTATCCAGTTGACCCTCTTCATCACAGTTTCTGGCTTGTAGGTCTTCTTGGGCTCCATCCCATAAGGCAGCTTAATGACAGGCAATGCAGGAGGTGGAGGAGGCCCACCTGGGCCCCCAAAGAAAGGAGGAGGAGGTGGGGGCCCACAACCAGGGGGTGGTGGGGGAGGTGGAGGTCCTCCCCCTGGTGGAGGAGGAGGTGGTGGAATGCCGGCATGGCCGGGAAGAGGAGGTGGAGGAGGGGGAGGACAGCCACCAGGTGGAGGTGGAGGAGGAGGTGGTGGAGGGGGAGGTGGAGCTGCTACACCCCCTGGTACTGGTGGTGGAGGTGGTGCTCTGGGCGCAGTTGGACCCGCTGCAATCTGCAAATACAGAGTAGAAATTTTAATGATAGCCTACATATCAAGTGAGGCTGTGTTTGGTTTAAACCAAACCTCAATCTGATCCCAACAGGAAAAAGCCATAAGGCATATTTCATTTTGTTTTTGTGCCAGTGAAAAGGCATTTTTGTGCTGTGAAAAACAACGTTTTGCTGACTTTAGTATCTTAGTGACTTGCCATGAGCTTTGACTGTGGGCAAAGAATAGGGTGTGTGCGTGTGTGTCATTAACAGTCAACCACATCACTGTAGTGTCAAGGATTACTAGGTTCTGTGCTTGCAAGTTCAGACCACATGAGGTCAATTTTTGTGGATATGTTTGCCAAGTTGACTTTGCTATGAGTCTTTTAACAGGGTAAGTAAGCAAGCATGCATGTATTTATGTTTAGCTTGTTAAATAAAAAAAAATTTTGTTTGTAAAGTTTATTTTTGTTTTTCTGAAATCCAGCCTCATCAGTAATGCAGACTGACGATTGTGTTAAGTCATAGTTTTACGCTTTATACACTAGGACATTAGGCATAAACTAAACAAGGAGATTCAACTGAAACTCTGGTAACTGATATTTATAGCAGCATTTCACAAAAAAAATACTTGAGCAGTGAAAACTGTTCAATTACAAGTTGGGAGATATTGTACGTAGGTAAACTGCCTGCATACTTGGGTTAAGTATATCATCGTGTTTTTTAAACCAATAGAAATTTAGAGGCAAAAGTAAAATATAGTTGCAAAAAACAAGAAACTCCCCAAAGCAATTTTAAATGCAGTGTGAGGACATGTTCCAGTCATAGTACTTGACATAATTGTTGCTGTCTCAAAATGTGCAATATAGTAACAGGTTGTAAAAAGGTTGCAAGAACTCAAGTGAAATTATCAATGTCAGCAGATAAATTCATAATTATTAATCATAGCCACAAAAAGCAAGATCTGCTGCAGTTTGTTTATACTTGGCCACTGAAAGCACAAGTCATATTTACACCAGTGATGTTAAAGACGACCACTTCATCTGATTTTAGAACAAGAATACTGTAATTCTACTTTAACAAAACGCTGCTTTATATAAAAAGTTGTGAATTAGCCAGAAGGTTGGCCTATTATCTTCATTAAGCCCTGTGGTTTTTGTATGTAAATACAAAGACAAATGTTGGAGAAAAACCTGTGATTGACCACTATTTTAATAGGGCTGACCCCAAATAGTCGAAGATTCGATGCTTCGATGGGCAGAGTCTGATTCCGCTTTCAATCTCACAGTCGAAGCTTCCAGGGAAACAAGGATCATGCCATGTTGGCGATATGGGGATGCTCAACGTCTGATTTTACATAAAACAAGTTTTCTCTCAATAAGTTAATATACAGCCATGTAAAAAAAAAAAAAAAACTTCAAATAAATGTTTTTAAAGTGAGTGAATAAATCCAAAATTGTAACCCTAAACCTTGGGTCGTCAGTGCGCATGTGTACGGTAGCATGTATGTGTGCAGTGGCAGGAGAGACGGAGCCCCAATTGGTGTTGTGCCGTGTTGTCTGCACTTCGCGGGACTTTCGGATAATTTATCACCATTGATGAACCACACAAAGAATATTTTATCGTTTTTAAACAGCCGCTACTTGAAATAGACCTGCAAGGAACCGCAACATGCATGCAGTTGTCGGCAGCACTGCAAAAACTCTGCACAAGACCGGTGAATGGCAGGCGAGAGAAAGAGAAAGAGAAGAGAGAGAGAGAGAGAGAGAGAGAGAGAATGATCAACAATAAGCCTCAGTTTAGCTTCGGCTCGCAATCGCCCCGCACAAAAACATACATGATTCGACCATCAGTCGACTATAGGCCGGACTTGATGATTCTGATTCGACTATGTAAATAATTAGTCGGGGACAGCCCGATATTTTAATTTACAAAAGATAAAGATGTTGCTTTCCCATCAAGTCCTCAAAATGGCAGGCTATTAAACAGTACACAGGGATGTAATTGGACCCAAGACTGATAAGACAAAGTCTTTCAGTCCTTTGACATGTCTGCACTATCTCACATACCACATACACAGGTCAGTGATAATGCCAATAGAAAAATGAAGAGAAAAAAAGTTATGCAAATACAGCAATTACAGACATCCAAGCGTAGACTGGGTTAAATGTCGACTCTTACCAAAAAGCCTTTCCACTTGCACTTCTCATTTACAAAACCAATTCCCCACTATGTGCTTTTTCCCCAGTCACTTGATTGTGTGCGTAAAATGTAATTGGCTTCATATTTAAAGACATTATGTTGTGTTTCATTACATAATGGCATTGGCGGATTGTTTATTAGGGCCAAAATTAAAAAGGTGTTCTGCAAGGAGATTCTTACATAGATCGCCTAGAGCTCTTCAGTGAAAATCCACATCCAATGATTACATGTCTGTCAATCTCGAGCCCTCTGTGGCCCGTTTTCTCTTTTAAGATTAATATGAGAGAATGTAAGAAAATTAGCTGCTAAATTAGAGCGCAGTTGTTTCCATAATGAAGGGCCATCCGAGTCTTTATCTCTCTCTCTCTATCTCTCCCTCTCGCTAGCTCTCTTTCTCTGATCTGCACAATAATAATAAGCCCAGTGTTTCACAGAACCCTTGGGATCCGATTTCCATTGCCACTGGCTTCTTCTTCCTCAGACACCAAAACAAACATGTAAAAAAAAATATCCATGTGAGACAACATCAGATTTCATGTTTTGCATTGTAATTAAGTAACCCGTTCATGTTTTGTATGCAACATGTTCATTTATGTCCATTCTTGTATGTTCTGAACGGTCTGAATTAGCAAACACAAGTATATAGTATAGGTAGAAGATTGTATGAATACAATATGAAAGTATCCATGATTACGTGAGACAAAACACACACACGTCTATCTATGCAATGCAAAACAGAAATTGTACATTTTACAACAAGGTATATAATTAATTATGACTTTTAAGATCTCACAAATGTCTCCCTCTTATATTAACTTTTTGTGTGGATATCTAATATGTATATTATCCAGCATGATTTAATGATGTGTTTCTTGCCAGCTTGTGAAGGATGTTACTTTTGCAGAGCTCATCTGGACCTCTGTCTAAAGTAGAAGCCCAATTTGGATATATATATATATATATATATATATATATATATATATATCAGCATGGCAGGTAATTAACTCAGAATGCTGTGTGATTACATCTATGCCCCAATCTCATTGCTGATAGAGGAATTCAATCAAAGGTGTTTACTTTTGCAAATTGTATTAAACATGCAGGAAATGGGTGTAGTTAAAAACCACTATAGTTTGCCATAGATTCCAGCTGTTTATGTATCTTTTAGCTTAATGGAATTTAGTAAATATATAGGTTAATTGAAGCATGTTATCTGTTTTTGTGGATAAGTCATTTCAACAGACAAAGCATTCCCTCCAGTAAGGTATTAAATCAGTGTACATCTGTAGCAAATACATACAGTATTTGAGTTTTAAATTTGATTATTGCAAATGAAGATTAGAGGACAGCAGAGATGTCAAAACATCAGCTCCATAATCAGTTTGAGAGTTTACCCTGACAAAAGATTTAAAGCACCACAATCCAATTATGTTAATATATAACTTGGATTTGCAGGTAATTAAATGTGAGATTATGTCAAAGGCCATGCATGCAAAGAGGACACCCACCTTGGCTTCAGATTCCCTGATGAGTCTCTGAGCCTCTTTGAGCTTGTCTTTTTCAATAGTTAACTGTGCAGATACAACACACACACACACACACAAACAGCAGACGCACACCATTGGAACACACGTCACATCAGACACAGAGGGCAACAGAAAGGCACAAATGGGGATGGGTTAGATAGACAGAGAAGAACGAGAACACTAGTACACTAGAATAGGTAGAGTACTCACACCAAACACAAATAAGGCAGAAAAAAGAGGCAAGCAGGGAAAAGAGGATGTTCTTTAAAAAGTTAATGACAATGGTAGTAGTCTTATATTACCATTTTGTCTGAATGAGCTATTTGATGTGCACAAGGCAAAGTGTGCTGTACTTTTACACCTAAAACAAGATGTAATCTTTCTTAAAAAGAACATCAGTGTAGAGCACTGACTGCAGCATGAAAGGAATGAGGCACAGCATCACTGACAGTTGGTGCACCTTCAAAACCCTTCTTTCATTTCCCTTTTTTGGCATCACAAAATACATTTCAAGTTAACACTCTTAGATGTGTGATGGGCATTGATTTTGTCTTTGTTTTAGAAATGTACCAATTTTGCTTTGATATTTCACTCTGTGCAACCTTGCAAAAAGAAACAAGATGGGAACATATTCCACAGTAAAAAGGAAATATTTTTATGGAGTCATTCCTACAGAACACCTCTTACTATGGACTGTAGAAATCTAAATATTTAATCTGTATAATGGAAAAGAAGATGGAAACTTTTAGTGGGATGGCTTAAAAAGAACTTTCATTTTGCAAGACTTTTGGAAAATGGCAGTAAAGTGCAATATTTAAATCAAATATGTTTTATTTTACCTTTCATCCTTAGGGAATAAAATGTAGAAGCTTTGAGATATCTTAGTTTTAAAGAACAAGACAGAGAGACTTTTAGCAGATAGGACAGTAGTCTGCCATCCTTTCCAGTTCTACTGACCTCCAATTTCTGGAGAACTGTTAAAGTCATGATAGAAGTGTAAAACATTTGAATGACTATGCATTTAACTGTAGATTTTTGGCTTAACAACTGAATTGGCTCTATCTCGTAACAGCAAAGCACACATAGTGACAACTGACTGCTGTCATTATCATTTGAGTCAAATTTTGTAGCCAGGGCAGAAGGCAGCCTGGCAGCAAAAGACAGAGAAAGTGGTCCACTACACCTCCAGCTTCTCTTGGGACCAAGCTGGGTCAGCTACAAGACCGCCAGGTTGTTAAAACCTATTAATGGGATGGCGCAGAGTGCTCCAATGTACCACTGCAGTGCTACATTATTCATCACATCCAGAGCCAATTCAATGAATAGCTTCCTCTTTTTTTTTTTTTTACCTTGAATGGTTGCAAGCAAAGGTTTGAGGAAGGGTGGATGATCTCCACTTGTTGTGATTTCTGTGTCCTTTGTTGATGTTTACAGGCAGAACCTCCACTCAACTCAATTGGGGGATAATCAAACAGACACATCAAACAGGCTGCTTGTTACAATGCCAAAGTTCCCGGAAAAAGACTCTCATTAAATGTGTTGGTTCACAAACAAGGTGAAGAGAAGCGACTCAGGCATGCATGTGTTTTAATATCTGACAGGAATCTGTCTAGGAGATGAAAGGTTAGGGTTAGCTCCCACTTCATTCATATTCAGCAAAGCGGCAGTGATCGCACAGCAGCTTTGATGGACAAACTGTGTGTCCTCACAACGATTTAAAGGTTCTGCGCTCTCAGAGTTAATGGGTTTCTACAGCACTGTGTCAAACGTGGATTAGGTTGCAAAACACAGTCTTTCAGCCTAGCCTTCCAGATGTAGCAGAACCACAACTGTCTGAGAGAATGACACTGTCATTTTGTTCATTGCTTGAGGTAGCAATTGCACACCTGCCTAAAATAAAAAACAGGACATAACGCTGCTTTTTTATTATAGAACTTGCATAATATAGAAGATTTCTTAAAATAAAAAAAAACGTAATCCCTGACAGACCCAAAGAGTACTTATTAAGTCTGAACAGATTAAATAGATTCATGTTCAAAGTAAAGTTAATTCATGCTCAACAGCAAGTATAGCCCTATTGTGTAAGTACAGGTGCTGGTCATATAATTAGAATATCATCAAAAAGTTGATTTATTTCAGTAATTCCATTAAAAAAGTGAAACTTGTATAATGTATACATTCATTCCACACAGACTGATATATTTCAAGTGTTCATTCCTTTTAATTTTGATGATTATAACTGTCAACTAATGAAAACCCCAAAATTAGTATCTCAGAAAATTAGAATATTGTGAAAAGGTTCAATATTGAAGATACCTGGTGCCACACTCTAATCAGCTAATTAACTCAAAACACCTGCAAAGGCCTTTAAATGGTCTCTCAGTCTAGTGTAGTGTATAATATATGTGCATTTGACGCATAACAGTTTAAAATAGCACTGTAGCAGCTGGACAGAGGGTCAGAGCTCTGTGTCCAAGCACATTAATAGAGAGGCGAAGGGAAGGAAAAGATGTGGTAGAAAAAAGTGTACAAGCAATAACCACACCCTGGAGAGGATTGTGAAACAAAACCCATTCAAAAATGTGGGGGACTTTCACAAAGAGTGGACTGCAGCTGGAGTCAGTGCTTCAAGAACCACCACGCACAGACATATGCAAGACATGGGTTTCAGCTGTCGCATTCCTTGTGTCAAGCCACTCCTGAACAAGACAGTGTCAGAAGCGTCTCGTCTGGGCTAAAGACAAAAAAGGACTGGACTGCTGCTGAGTGGTCCAAAGTTATGTTCTCTGATGAAAGTAAATTTTGCATTTCCTTTGGAAATCAAGGTCCCAGAGTCTGGAGGAAGAGAGGAGAGGCACAGAATCCACGTTGCTTGAAGTCCAGTGTAAAGTTTCCACAGTCAGTGATGGTTTGGGGTGCCATGTCATCTGCTGGTGTTGGTCCACTGTGTTTTCTGAGGTCCAAGGTCAAAGCAGCCGTCTACCAGGAAGTTTTAGAGCGCTTCATGCTTCCTGCTGCTGACCAACTTTATGGAGATGCAGATTTCATTTTCCAACAGGACTTGGCACCTGCACACAGTGCCAAAGCTACCAGTACCTGGTTTAAGGACCATGGTATCCCTGTTCTTAATTGGCCAGCAAACTCGCCTGACCTTAACCCTATAGAAAATCTATGGGGTATTGTGAAGAGGAAGATGCGATACGCCAGACCCAACAATGCAGAAGAGCTGAAGGCCACTATCAGAGCAACCTGGGCTCTCATAACACCTGAGCAGTGCCACAGTCTGATTGACTCTATGCCACGCCGCATTGCTGCAGTAATTCAGGCAAAAGGAGCCCCAACTAAGTATTGAGTGCTGTACATGCTCATATTTTTCATGTTCATACTTTTCAGTAGGCCACCATTTCTAAAAATCCTTTGTTTGTATTGGTCTTAAGTAATATTCTAATTTTCAGAGATACTGAATTTGGGATTTTCATTAGTTGACAGTTTTAATCATCACAATTAAATGAAATAAACATTTGAAACATATAGTCTGTGTGTAATGAATGAATATAATATCCAAGTTTCACTTTTTGAATGGAATTACTGAAATAAATCAACTTTTTGATGATATTCTAATTATCTGACCAGCACCTGTATATATAGGGGATATTCTAAACATTCATGCACGTTTGTGCCAAACATGTTTCCCTGCTGAGGTTAATATCTGGTGATGTACGAGTCTTCAGCAGTAACCGCTCTTTGAAGAAGCATTCAGACAAACGGAGGAAGAGAGGGCTTGACTCTCCAGGGCTTCTCTGCTCTACACTACCTGTTAATGCACCAGTCAGTCAGTCTTCAAAAGACTGAGGCCTGTCAGGGGAGGGGGGGTGGTGTTATAGGAAAGAAAACACTTGGATACACAACATAAAAAGCCCAAAAAAGGGAAAGAGGGCAAGCAAAGGTAACAGCCTGGTGCATTCATTTCTGAGAGAAGGTGGAAGAGAGCAAGGGAGAAAAAGGGGCGAGCAGGCGGAGAGGAGCTTTAGATGATGATGGTCTCATTAAAATAGGCAGGCAGTAATCATAAATAGAGTGATGAACCAGTTTGGGGACAAATGCAGGTAACAAGTGGTGACCCAGCACTCAACCATGACCAGTTTTAAGAAGAACAACACGGTGTGACCTAGGCCAGGACAACAACCAAAGCCTGTGCTACATAACAGCATTTGTTGTGGACCTAAGAATGCTACCTAGAGGACTGAAGTAAAAGTATGTTCCAACTGAGAAAACTCCCAGTTATGCTTGGACCATATATGCAGGTGCAGTTTATCAGACGGGGAGTGTCAACATAGGCAACCAGAGATGAATGTTTGAAAGAAAGAGCGATCTGTGATATAAATGTAGCTATACCATCTTTCAATGCAGGTTTATATTAAATTCCCTAAGCAGGGAGGCAACCTGCCCTTTTGTCCCAAGGCAGTACTAAAGTGTTTGAAATTGGGTTAAGGGGGAAATAGCAGTAATTTTCTGTGCTCAAAATGGAGGGGTTTGCCTGGGAAGAAATGATGTAGAGGCCAGGAAAAGGAGTGCAATCCATCTCTGTGATGATAGAATTACATAGGAAAAGCTTCAATAGAGCAATTTGCCCATAAAAAGAGCTACAACTTAAGAAGGAGATTGACCCTTTATTAAATCAAATGTTCTTGCATGGATGATAACTCGCACTTACAGCAGCAGCACATCTGTAAGTGGGGTGGAAAGGTATCCTTCTGACCAAATCAGCCCTTTTTCTAGTGGCGCTATGATCTTAAGACAAACATTTTTATATAGTTTTGAGATGTTTTTTAGTTAGAAAACTGATTAGAAGGGCTTCTGGATATTAGATTTGTTTTATCTTCTTTTTAATGTTTTTTTGGAAAACATACAAAATAAAAGATCTCTGGGGGAATGGAACACTGTTTTGCAGAGTAGCGGGATTTCACTTTATGGATTTACCTGGGACTCCAGGGCCTGAATCTTTCCCTCCAGCTCTTTGATTTTCTCTTCCTTCTTTTGACACTCGGCCTGGGCCTCCTGCCGCGCACTGAACTCCTCATCAAACTGCAAGAAAAGAGATACAAAAATGTCTATGTGCACATAAAAAACACATGTACACAGATATAAACACACACAAACACACACGTTGGTGAGCGGCACAGTGTCTCCAGAGAATGGCCACGGGGCACATCACCAGACACCAAAACACACTGTCTTACACTCTCTGGCCGATTTCTATTCATAGCTCCCATGGCCCTTGAGCCCTGTTGTCCTTTGTCTTAGTTTCGGGCCTAGCTTTCATGTATGTTGATGGATCTAACCTTTGCAGAAACCAAGCCATGTCGCTACAATGATTTCACTGTCCCAGCAGGGTACACGGTCGGCTGGTGGGACAGAACTCTTAAGAAAAAACATACCCAGGAACCCCTTGGTGTCCCCCAACAGTGGCAGTGGGGCATCTTAATACATATCTAAATACTATACATAATATGCTGGAGGTAAGATTTTTTTTTATGAGGTCATTTTATTTCTCTGAAATATATTAAAAATATTATTATATAAATTAATCAATTACAGAAATAATAATCAATTTAATTACATGAAAAGGAAAAGAGAAAGAGAAAACCCCTTAAAGGGCCAGTTTAAAATGCAGAACTGTATCAAAAGAGCTTGCACATAACTTAACTCTGCCCCGGCACTGTGCACAAATAAGTATACATCAGAACATCGGCACTGATTCTTGTAATGCTGATACGGATCATGTAGCGTCACAGCCAGGTATTGATCAGGGCATGGAAAATCAATAGCTTGTCTGGGAGCTCTGAGGAAGAAAAAACTTTCCTGATGGGAGCCGGCCAACCAAGGGGGATGTTGGAGTGATTAATGTCTCACCTTTTTCGAGTACTCTGCAGCCTTCTGCTCACTCTCTTCAACTTTGGATTTATCCACACACTGATCTGAAAGACAAGACAGCCATAGCCACAAGATACTTCAAAGGTATCTTCCAGGTGAGATGTGCATCATTAGCTCTCTAAGTGAGATTTACAATTAGACATGGGTCTTGTTTCTCAAAGTATGTAAGAATTCATATGATCTCTTGAATGCTGACTGATTTCTTGAAAAGTATGTTTTCAACTGAAGATGGTTTAAAAATTGGCATAAATCATTTTTATGCGTTTCAGCACACCTAAAAATGCTAAAGAGTGTTTCAAGAAGGAAACCCAGTCCTTCCTGTATATCAAAGTAATTTAACTTCAAGGTTTGATTGCATACTATTTAAAAATATATACTGTATTTTCAGATGAGTTACAACATTTCTTTAGTGGTCATTCATAATGTCTCCCAGTAAAGGTTGTATAAATTTGATGCTTGTGATGAAATGCAAAAATCATTAAAAATAAGAATAAGAATAAAATGTGTGCTCTGGGAAAACAGAAGGCAAAGTGCAAAATGGGCAGCAATGGCGACTGATGCAGCAGCTGTGTTACTGTCGTGAAGAAAGGACAAGAGTGGATAAAGTGTTTTCATGATGTGTTCAATGACTGCCACACATATGTTGAAACCAGTCACACCGTGCAACTCTTGGGTCATGCTCTCCTCATCACCCAACTCTCACTGTCAAAGGTGTCCTTAAACAGCAGGAATCATCACCTAAAATTCTGAGTTGTTATCTGTTGCTTAAAGGTGTTTCTTGAAAAAGATTTAATCAGTCAGAGCCTAAAGTACAAGTGTAAGTTTTTGCACATTCTACTTCTTCTTTTCCAGATATTTTGTGTGTAGTTTTATGTATTTTTTTTTGTATATAATGTCTTTACAAACACATAAAACATATTTTACAATTGTCCAGTAGCTGAATCATCTGAAAGACAGTGTATGTGTAAGTTGTGAGTGTAAATTATTGTTAGATCACACATCACACAAAACCATTTTTCCCTTTGAAAAATAATTGTTATTTGGAAGAGACCCCCTAATGTGAAAAATAATACAACAGAATAAAGGGTGGAAAGACACCTTTCAAAAGCCCATGTGGATGTGGCATCTAATTCCACATGTCTTTTGTGTGAATTTAACAAAACACATGTCGCTGAAAGTTTACCATCTGATTAAATCTTAGTAAAGTGAGTGAGAAAACTTATTCAATACCGTATCAGTCCTCTGCGGATAGGTTTAGAAACTTTTAATGACCCTTTGTTAGCAAGTCACAGAACTGTTAGTGACACCACAGTAAGAGAAAGTGGTGTCATTTCTTTCTTTTCTCTGTTTATAAAAAAGTGCTCCATTAGTGATGCACTGCAAATTGATATTTTCTCTAGTATTCCACGGCTGACAAATACCCTAGCTGCAGAAAATGGCACTTAAAATTAACTGAATTCATTTTCCCAGATATAATGTACTATTCATCAATAATTAGATGACCCCAACTTATATGTCAAGCCACTGCATGTGTTTGTCAGAAGAATCTCAGAAGGATAATGAGAATGACTGTGAGGTATCAGAACATGTTTAGCAACATCCATGATATGCCGCCTGCAGCACATAGTTTAAAAAGAAAAAAAAATCTTGAGGATGATTTCGGCTTATTAGGATCTCAATTACACGTCTTGAAGGCTTGTTTTACACATTTTAGACTTTTGCCAGCACACGTTAAATTAATGACTATGACGATGAGTAAATATGAAGCAGTTAATAAGGTACCAATCAGATGGGTGAAGTCCACGTCTAGTCTTTTACTGTAGCCAAAGTCAGGGTCCATTCCATTGCGATGCAGGACCACCTGAGACACGCATTCTTCTATCACCTTGTAATACTGAGGCCTGAGGGTTCAGAAAACATAAAGCAGAACAATTACACATGCCACAGTGATGTGACTGACACAAACTCTACAGGGCTAATTAAGCACAAACGATTCCCTTATCAAAGCTAGAGGTCACAAAATGCCATGTCAAAAAGGGTGCTGCTGCAGAAAATAGGCAACCTATTAAATTTGATCACTTGCTTCACCCCGATCATGAAATTAGTAGATTAATGGGCACACAGAACCCAAGCCTGTGTTAGTCTGTCCATTTCAAGGTGACAGACGGTAGCCAAGGCTACGCTTGCCCTCCTGCCTAATTTGCAATCATCTTTGCCAATTAGAGCAACCATAAAAACTGAAATGTAAATCTAATCAGTGTAATGTGTGTAATTGAAAGCACAATGACCAGAAAAACATGTCAGCCAGTTAGGAGTGTGACTGAGTGCTTGGTGTTGTCGAGCTGGGTGAGTGAATCAGCCTGAGACTCCCATTCTGCCACACAGGTTGGTATATGACCTTTCTCAGTAACATTATCAACTTTAATTGCAAGTGACATTTAGCAAATACAATGGCAGCTTAAGCTCAGCTCCAAACTGAGAAATAATTATTTTCTAAGCATGACATTCACCAGAAGTTGATGTTTAAATTCGCAAGAAAGCAGCTTTTATTCCTCCAATGATTCAAGCTCCATTTATTCATGTAAATTTGAAGTTGAGATTTGAACTGAGGTACCAGATATGGGGAACTGAACCTAAATGATGGTCATCAATAATGGCCGCATAAAATTTTTAAAAGAACAATTCCCTAAACTAGGAATAACAACAATCACAAGCGCAAAATCCATGCGCAAGTGGATGTGACCAACTCATTGTTGCAGTTTGTGTGAACAGTTGGGCAATTCTGTTATGGCACTATGAAATCTGGAATAGGGGTGGAGAGGGATGAATACATTACTAGAGGGAGGAATACAGTATCAGCAGCTAGGGTAGGGTTAGCATTCTGATTCAATAATCACATCAACTCCTTTCATCTCCTTTATAGTAGTGATAGTAGAAGCTAAGTTCTTCTATGAGTCCCAAAGCACAACAGAATGCAACAGCCTTCTGGGGGAAGCTGATGTTCATTCAATTTCCAGAAATGTTATTATTATTTTCAGGGTTCTTACACATTTACCATTTCAATATTCTACACCTTTCCAGACTTCAATTTCCAGACTTTATTATAAATTTTTCACACCATACTTGACATCTGAGTACAAAGAGCTAGATGTTTATTATATAAATAAATTGTTTTAAACTCGCACTGTTAACATGTATGTTACATTCTGACTCTGTATGTTATTATGTTTCCAAAGTCTTGACAGAATATTGTAGCTAGGCACTGTATATCATGTATATTAATTAACAACAAACCATTGTGTCCACATTCCTACACAGAAAGTTGGAGGTGTTCCCTTGTCAAATATCTGTTGCCCAAAGAGGAAGTAAATTACTCTGTGCTATATATAATTGTATTATTTTCAATATATAATATTATATTATTGTCCCCCACATATGTTTTTGTCTCTTTTAAAAATAAAAAACTTAAATCTGTGCACACTGTGTCCCTGAAAAAGACAATGATCGCAGCCATAAAGGCATGCTTTCCTTACGATTTCCTAAGATAGACTGTTTACTTTTCTGATGTCTACATCAATGTAAATCTCATAAATGTTCAGACAGGCTATGTATTTGTTTATTTTTGATATTGCTGAATTTTCTTTTAAACTAATTTGGTTTCAGATGTCAAAATTTGGTACAGTTATAAGGTGCTTGGGGCAAAACTGTTTGCAGGATGTGACACACAGGTGTGGAGCATTGACAGTATGGTGTAGAGACAGCTCTGCGCAGGAGTGTCTTCTGTCGAACGACATACTTGCTTTTAAAGACATCAAGCTGGCTCTGGCCCGCGCTTTCTCACACAGTGGTAAACATTTTGGCTGCACACACTGCTTGCATGATCTTTTTTTTATTCTTTATTTTGCAAGTTTCTGGTTTAATTTCAACATTGGAGGGCATACATAGTAAGATGGGGGGTTTGAGGGTCCATATATTTATATATATATATATATACACACATATATATATAATATATATATATAAAATGGATAAGGCTCTCAGGCATTCTGTATTGCTTTCAAATATGTATTCCCCAGCAGATTGGCTTTTCTCATTTGATACCATCCCAGATGAGTCAACACACATGATTTAGTCTTCCCTCTGCTTTTGTGTCTCTTGTTTGGGGAAGTAACCTCTTTAAATGAGCATTTGGCACATATTCACATGAACAAAAATTTTAGTTTACAAACCCCCCTAAACTTAAATAGCCCCTGTGTTTCATCAAGTTTTCTGTTCAACTTTTGGACATTCAGAATCTATCCCACATATCTGTGTTTACTGACATTTTAAGAATAAATTCATAATAGCGAGAAAAAAATCATATTATTATAAGAATAAAGTCGTTGTTTAATCAGAATAAAGTCATATTTTTTTTATCCACCCGCCCTATACACTGCTGTCCATTAGCCTACGTTATTGCTCTACTGATATGGTTGTATCCCCTTCAGACCATCTGACTGACACAGAACCGTTTGGGACTGTACTGGATGAGACAAGTGAGCTGTGCTTCATCGGGGGTGGAACACCGAAACAAATAGAAAAGATTTCTGATCAGGCATACATTTCACCACAAATGCTAACTCCATCACCACTGATAAAGTGCGGCCGCTTCAGTAGGAAACATTCTGGAGTAGTGAGACAGTCCCAAACAGAGCAAAAGTGGCTCTAAGAAAGAGAGATGCCGAGACAGCGGCGACACAGCACTACCGGTCAGAGGAAAGACGCAATCTAACGTTTTACAAGTCTAAGTAACTGGAGACTGCAGGTATACCAAGACATGCACATATGACTCGAAACCTATTCTAATATAACTTTTTTTCTCATATGTGAATTAATTTTCAAAATATCAGATAACTATTGTTTGTTTCTAACAGTAACTCTAATACTCAAATACACTGACTAAACACAAGCATTTTTTGATCAAAATAATTGCTAGGGACAATTCAGTTTTTCTTTTTCCCATACTTATCCAGACCTGCAAATTATTTATATACAATCCCATACTTTTTCAATCTGCATAGGAATCCTGTATTTTAGAAAAAGAAGAAGACTGGAAGTTCCATAAATCACTGTATGGCAGATATGCTGTAGCTTTATGGCCTTTTAGCTTCTTGATATTGTCCACTAGATTTGTTTGAAAATAAGTTAAATTCAGAGAAGATCTTATGACAACTCCGATGCAGATAAGGAACTCACAGTCTGATCAAAGCCTGCCGGTCTGAAGGCTCGGCATGAAAGCATTAAGCATTAAGGGGAAGGAGCACTAATGTTACTAAAATGTAACACTTGATTTGAGCTGAGAGAGCTGTGAACAAAGTGTCTGTTGTCAGGATGTTTCATTTTGTGTAATACCAAAAAAGCACATATCTTAAGTGTGTGTCAAAATAAAAAGGAACGTGATGAACAGCATCTTGTTATTAACAACATTAAATAGAAAGAAGTTTATTTTCGAGGCTTTGACTCCAAACTGTTGCCCATAAATTCAAAGGCTATGTTCTGTTGGTACCTTGTGGGTGGACAGGCCATATCATGTTATGAACAGAAATATGAAAGAACACAAAAATCTGAGCCAAAGCAAATAAGAATAAATCAGCATTTAGGTGCACTGTTTTGAAAGCATGAAATACCATACATTAAGCTTGAGCTGGCGGATTCGCCCACTCATGATTGGAACAAGCTAGCAAAAGCTCACACATCGCCCTGCATGGCTTAAGCGCTGTGGCACTCGGCTTACAACTGTCACCAATGTACACCACATTATTATCTCAATAAGCCGCCCTATTTTCCCTGCGTCCTCCATCCTCCGCCACCACCAAGCAGATAGGGGCTGGGTGGAGATAACTAGAGACGGAGAGAGTGACCCAGAACTGTCAGGCCCCTCCACAGTGGGCAGGGCTGGGCTCCAGAAGCTAGCATATGTCCCCTGCATCATTCCCCACCTCTTCTTTTACTTTGGCACCTTCATTTCTTCCAATGATAGCTTGCAGTTCAGCACAGCCCCAGCCACTTGATCCAGCTCTGCTCCACATAACCAGTGTAATCCCCATATCACCAGGCTCCAAAAGAGCAGATCTGCTCTATATTTACTGGGTGGGTTTGATGTGCTCCCATTCATTAGGCTTGCAGTGAGAGATTAATTATCAAAAATAAACCAAGCCCTGAAGGGGAGAGCAACAACTAATGTTGTGTTAGGAGGAATGACAGTAGACAGAGCACTTCAACAGTTTGCCCACTGCAGACCTTCATATTATTAGAATACTAATTATATTATTGAATTAATTATCATTGAATGTAGATTATTATTTGACACATGAATCAAGGCACCACTAGTGTTATCGATTCCAATTCACACTACGATGAAAACAACTTAATCCTTTACTTTAGATAGAATATTATGAGCACACCTGCATCCTTTTGATCACAAAGCCAAAGAATGTCACACATTTATACAACCTACCTAACCTGCATTGCTACCACGCATTCCCTGACATGCCTATTTTTGTTTTTGTTTCAAGTTGGCAAAATATTATAGATATACACCAAATCATTTACATTCACCAAATTTTGACTACAACATGAAAAGATAGAAACTTTAAGGGTGAAGACTGGAAAAAGATAGATAGTATCTATTGGAAATAGCTGCATGTACTGTAGTACTGCATCTTCCATCATCCTAACTCACACAGCTGTGATGTATTGGGAATAAAATGCCTTAATCAGAATGTCTGGCGCTAATGTTTGTGAGTGTGTGTGTGGGTATGCCCTTGCTTTTGTGAAGGAGGCTGGAGAAAAAAAAATATTTCTAAAACATATCTTTAAAAAGACCATCAGTTTATTTATTTTTTTAAGAGCATCAGCACAG